AGATTTCCAAGAATATACGTCACCTTTAGCTTGAAACTTTTATTTGTCTTTGGAAACATTTTCATTTTGTAGTAGTAGCTTTTCTTGACAGTTGACGTGCGTCGAGTAGGTGGTGCCGAGTAATCAACAGAAACTGCCGCTGAAAACATACAACTAAAACAGGACTTCCTTGGAGGCTTCGCAAAATCAAAAATGCACATAACTTACTAAACGCAAAATTAGATAATTAGCCAGATCACGATGGGATTGATACGTACCTGTATTAGTTCCGCCCGTTGGAAGTACTGCTAAGCCAAGTTCAGATAGGAATCGGAATCGAGATGTCATTCCGCCACCCGTTGAAGAGCCAGAGTCCAAACGTGTAAGAAAGCTTTCCTATATCAAAACAGTTATTTGCGACCTGCGACAAATAGAGCACTAAAACTTAGGAAAAAACAATGCAAAAACAAAATATATAGAAGCATCAGCTATCTTCATTAAAACTGAAGAGGAAAGTGTATGCAATAAGAATGAAAGAACAAGATATTCAAAGAAAAAGTCATTTTGTAAACTGAAAGGAAATATTGTCAAACAAACTACCTGATATGTTGTTGGTGCGCTATCCTCTCTCCCTCGCCCTTCTCTACGCTCCAGAATGCTTCTTGCAAATTGATTCGATGCTATGTCAGATCCATCTGGACCTCCAATCGCCAAGCCATCAGTCTGACGAACAGCTGCCCGTAATCTTGAAGCCACATTTGCAAACGATACCATTTGATGTCTAGAACTGGAGTTTATACAGAGTTCTCAGCTGCAACTTTTTGGTCAGATAATCAGATATCAAAATTTGGGAAGAATAGAGGGTCTTATAACCTCGCTCTGCTGGCTCCTGTTCCAGTAGGTGCATGAAAAACCGTTGTTGGCAGTTGGGGTATATAAGTGTAGCTTTCATTACTCGACGAAGATAGTGCACGCTCGCGTCTGAGAAGAAAATTGAAGAAACGTTAAGAAAATTCTGAGAAACCACCTATACTGCGAGATTTCTGCATGAAATAGTTATTTACTGATTGATCAGCTCACCTGGTGCTTCCAACGCTAATTCCCGGTATATTCGCAGCAGCCTGAGAGGAACATGGCTCGTTCTCTTCTTCGCTGCTTACATATGCAGATTCCGGTAAAACCTGCAAAGTTTTCAGCTTATTATCGGGAAAAGGAATACCTAAAAGAAGTTAGAAACCCATACATCCAGTCGATTTCTGCCCAAAGGAGGGTCTTGAGTTCCCTGTAGCAGCTCCATGAGAGCTCTTCCGGAGCCAAGAGGTTGGGCTGTTCCTACTCCTAAACGAAATCAATATGAGGCATTCATTGGATAGATCAGCAAGCATTCGTTCATTATTAGAAGGAATTATGAGAAATCAGCCAGCATACTTTAGGAAATAATCAAAACTAGTTAAAAACTATTAACAATTAAGTTCCACATTGAAAATGGAGAAAAGCATGGAATCTTTTGAAAATTAGAGTGATGGAGAAATTGCTGAACTAACCATGTTCGTCAAAAGCATACGTCCACCACATTCCATCTGCGTCTTGAAATGAATGCACAGCTCCTTGTGAGGTATCTTCATGCCCTGCAGCAACATGTGTACCATCCTTGAGGGCCATATCTGACAACGCAGCTACCGAGGATGAGGAAGATCGGCGTCTCGTGGGTGCTCTAAAGGAAAACAATTAACGAAAATACGAGAAAACGGTAGATATGATCCAACCCATGCAACCTTAACATCTGCGGAACGCGATGCGAAGCAGTGCTTCGTCCTAGTCTACTTTGACGGACATTTTCAATAACGTCAAGTGTCTCAGGATGTTTTTCAATCAACTCTTCCAGGAATTTCGTGATTTCCACCTTGATATCGGCCCCTCCAACTGGAAAATATATACCGGTTCAGCACCTGCTAATTCAGCTTTCTATCAACTGACCTCTATCATCGGAGGCTTTGCTGATAGAAGTTGATCTGGGGCGGTCCGTGTCGCCAAGTGAGACAACAACTGGGTACCATGTGGATGTTGATGGGGCAGAATCATCAATTACTTTCTAAAAAGAGCACTACAAAAAATTTTGATATGAATTTTTGGGTTTATGGATTATTAAAATACATTTGGAGCAAATTGGAAATGAAAAAGTCGGCGATGACCGTACCGTGATTTTAGGCTTCCTGCGCTTTGGTCCACTTTCGTCTGTATCGACAATTTCATATGGATTTTCATTATCTCGAATACCTTTGCTGGTCGATGGCTGATCCACCTCTTCACATAAAATGTCACCATTTTCTTTCTCTTCCGCCTACAAGAATACATTAACATCTTTCAACCTGATAATGCAACAAAAGGATTTTGTTCCAGATGGCTCCCTTCTTCCTACCTCAGCACC